TAAAAAAGTAACTAAACTACTTACCCAAATTCACAATTAAGCTAAAATTTAACTATTAACCTAAAATAAATAACAACTACTAGAAACTGTAACTATTAACCTCCACCGCCATTCGTGTTGTTGGCCGTTGTTGTTGACAGTTTAAGAGGGGGGAAAGAAAGAACAAAATATGAAGTATAGAGTTTAAATGGTATCATTCAACATGAAAACTCTAGATGATGTAGAGTTTTGATGATCCAATTTTTCCTCAAAGACAAAAAAATGAAACTTAACAGTAACCTAAAATAATTCAAATTATTTGATTGAGAAAAAGTCGAACAAGAATAATAGGACGAAGTGGTGGAGTGGCGGTGGAGATGGTGAGGATGAACATATTTCCAAGCTCGCCAAATTTCTTGATGATCCGATCCGCCTATAACCCGTTGTTGGGAGTATTTTTTAGACAAAAATCATGTGAGTGAGAGAGGAGACTATTTATTTGATGATCGAAGGTGGATGAAGAGAGAGAAAGTGGGATTTTTTTTTATGCAAACGAGGGGCTAAGCCCTAAAACAAAGAAAAATAAACAAACTAAGAAGCTATAAAATGTGGCCAATCCGCTGCGACTATATCTTTATATATGGTTCTCCCTAATTCTAAAGGTAAACCGGGTTTGAATGAGTTCCATCTTCGCAAGTTGATTTATTATAGCATTTGTCAACTAGTCTACATCCCTGTTACCCTCAAGATAAACATGCACAATAAACCTCCCAATCATTTGCTTCTATTCATTTGACGACAATTGTTGATAAGATGAACACAACACTCCCCTTTACAAAGCTCCAAACTTTGTAAGGCTTAATATATATAGGAAAGGTTATGTGAAATGGTAGAGGAAGCTTAGGTAGTCTTAAGTTATAAGACCGTCTAATTAAAATTGGTAAATAAATGATTATCGATTATGTATGTACTGTAATACTCTTTCTTGTTGATGGTAGTTAATGAATTTGAGAAGTCATTATTCTTCCTATCTTTTAGTTATATTATTTAAATTTTTTTTTAAATCTTACAATAAATTCAAATTTAATCACAAAAAAGAAAGGAAGAGATCTAATGTTTTTATTAAGATTTAAAAGTTTTTGGTTCATGCTTTCCAAAGCAAAATTTTAAACATTAATATCTACAAATACCAATAAGTAAAAATTGTAAAATGTTGATACTTGAAAATACATCATATAAACTAAGATGAACATAATCAAATACAAGTAAGACCTTATATGATATATTTTTCTTAATGAGGAATCATCAAAAACTAGAATCCTACTCATGGTGACCTGGTTATTCAAATTGGTTCAGCTAAAGAAATAAATAAGTATATAAAGAGAGTGTTCAAGTTTATCTTCATGATAACAAATTTTGTGTATCTAATGGCACTATCGTAAATTATTGTAGTTGGAAATATAATCGTGCTACATATACATTTTTCGTTCGGTTTTGGGCTATCCAGTTGTAAAGGTGAATAAACTAACGGAATTAACTTTATATGTAGACACTGTAATTACCATCTTCTTCTTCCTTGGCGTTAACTCCATTGAAGGATCTCGAGCTTTCCTCCACCTCTACCTTCATCTTCTTCATCCTCGATAATCCACCCTCCGATCCATCGACATGCCCACCACCATTTCCGGCGGTTTCGCCACCGAATTAAACAAAAACCCTAAGGAAAAAGGGAGAAATTAAGGGTAAGGTCATTTCTAAAGACTAAGGGTGATGTTTACCTCCATTGAAGTTTCCCCTAAGCTTGTCTTACTTCATCGAAGTTTTTGAAATTTCCAATGAAGCTCTTGAATTCAAGTTCCTCCATTAACGACTTTTTCGAGATTGACGGTGTTAAATTTTGTTATATGAACTTACCCATACTTACATACGCAAATGAGCAATTATACTTTAAGATACGCTTGAAGTTTATCATAAAGATAAACTTGTATTTTCTAAATTCAAATAATCTTAGCCTCTTATGAAGCCTTTAGTCCATATATAATTGCTTTTTGCAATATAAATTAGTTAACCCACTTTATCAATAGGAAAAATTGATATTAATAATCCCAATTTTGTTCCATTTTCATTTAATAATCCCAACTTTGGAGGGTGTTTTCTTTCTTCAATTCCAGTGACCGGTTACCTGTTGGATGGATTTTTTTATTTTTTTTCTTTAAATGACACATGTCGCAAATTAATTGGTTTGAAACAAATTTAAAAACAAAAAAAAAAAACCACCAGCCAAACCCCAAATTATGACCACCCAAACCTTTACGTCAGCGGCTGCCACTATTCCCCCTTCCCCTATGCCGATTTCCCCCTCCCCCGCACCGATGATGCGACCCACCTCTCATAGCCCTCCTTCCCTCGTTTTTCGACTCTCCCCACCATCGAATCTCCCTTGAAACAATCGAACTCCCTTAAAACCACCTCCCACACTCCCGAAAACCCCCAAAAACCCCTCCCCCACCATAAAAAACCCTAGCCGCTAGGGTTACGGGGTGGGGGGAAGGGCGATTTGGGGTTTTTGAGAGTGGGGGAGGGTTTTGCTTGGTGGTTGCGTGGGGGGAATGGCAGTAAGATTAGGGGATAGGGGAAATCGGCGACGCCGGCAGTGGGAGAGGGGCGGTTGGCTGGCGCAGAATAAGCAACAATCTGGGCAACGAACTGGTGTTAAGGTGGGCTGATGGGGGAAGAGGAGAGGAGCTAGTGTTCTCTAATTTTTGGGTTTTGTTTTAAGTTTTTTTTTTAATTTTTTGGACCAATCAGGACTTGACAAGTGTCAAATAACCTGACATAATAGGTCATTGACTTTTGTTGACCGATTTGGGGTTAAAGAAAATAAACAGTCCCCAAAATTGAGATTATTCTATAATAATTCAAAGTTGGGATTACTAAAAGAAAATGGAGTAAAATTGGGATTATTAATATCAATTTTTTTTTTATTAATATTCATGAATTATGACTTCACACTAGATAGTAATATCAGTTTTTCATTAATACTCGTATCAAAATTAAGATTATTCTAAAATAATTCAAAAATTGAAATTATTAAAAGAAAATGAAGTAAAATTAGGATTATTTTCCCTTTCATTGAAATCTCATAAAAAATATTGTGGTATTAATTAGTTTGGCATTATCAATTCATTTGGCTAATCAAACTCTAGATAAAATTTGAGAGAGTGCGCTTTGGCCATTGGAGCACTTGACATTCGTGTCAGCCGCCTCATTACTCAACAGTAATGTGAACCTGAGAAGATTCCAGTGTTATATTTACTCATTTATTTTTTATTGAAGGGTGGGTCTGACTTTTGGCGGCCAAGTGGAAGACAAGTCACATTATTTTTCAAAATGTTCACAATATGACAGTAGTACATCCGACATCCGATAAAATTGGAACGATATAGGAATATATTATCATGATGCAGACTAGCAGCCGTCACAATCAGCTAAATTTAGAAATTACACTTTTTAAAATTATACTCCATTCATTTCATTATTTTTAGGAGTTTATTAATGATTATTTTATACTCCTTCTGTTTCAAAATATTTTTTATTCCTTTTTTTTATATTTACGTGTCAACACCACTTTACGTAGTCAACTCTTGATCTTTTAACATAGTCCTTTTTCCTTTGTTATTTTTCCGCTATATGACAAAAGCAAAGTCACAATTGACTATTAAAAAAAATAAGGTACTCCGTACATGTTTAGTTTTACGATATTATTTACAAATTTAAGTTAATTATTAGCTTTTGTGATTCATAGTTATTATAAAATATAGCAATGTGAGATCTTATTAAATCATCTTAATGTATACTTTGTATAATAATGTGTACTTCTGTTTTTATAGTAACAAATTTTTAGAATTTTTACTAGTAAGTAGAGAAATTAATAATCATTGAATTTGTACATTGTCAAACGTAACAAAATAAAAGAAAAAAAAAGTGGAAAAGTTTTTTGTTTCTTTTTTTTTTTAACGAGATGAAAGAGGAAATGCTCTGTCTTTTTTTCTTTTTTCTTTTGCACCATGGACACTTTTATGTCAAATGGTGCTAAAAATAAGTGAGCAAGGAGTATATTGCTTGTTGGTTCACTTTTAAGTGGTCTCCTCCAAAACGAGAAAGCCAAAAAGAAAGTACGGGTCAACATATATGTGGTCCGGGCAATGTCTTGAGCATCTACGTTTAATCAGGGGCGGACCCAGTTAAGTGACATGGGGGGACAGCTGTCCCCCCAATTTAAAAAAAAATTAAAAAAAAGTAAAAAAAAACAAAAAAACAAAATGCTGGATATGAACGGATGAAACGAAGAACTGAAGCTGCGCTGCTCCATCTTCACTCCTCCAATTCGCCACTGCCTCTACTCCTCGTCTCCTCTAGTAGATCGACGACCTCCGTTCTTCGCTGCCGCACTGCGACGCTGCCTCGCTAGTCCAGCCTCCACCGCCCTCCAGTACTGCTGTAATTGTGTGATTGACCGTCCTCGGTGGCTCGGTCAGTTGGTCCTCTGTCCTCACCAGTCACCACTTCACTAGCTGCGCCGCGTGCGCACTTCCTCATGCCCTCATCGTCCGACCGTCGAGCCTCGGCCGTTTTCGCTCCATCAAATCCATCAATGGTATGTCTTGTTAACCCTAATTCGAAATCCCTAATTTGAAATCCCCAATTGTTATTCCTAATTTCCAGATTTTTGTTGAATTATTGTTAATTTTAATTGCAATCTTTGTTGAATTTTAATTTAATTGCAATTTTAATCTTAGGTTTTATTATTATGCAATGATGTGGATTGTGGAAATCGATATATATTTTTCAATTTAATTAGGAAATGTCAAATGATTCACCTAATTCAAACAAATCCAAGGCTACTAGAAAACAACCCGATCTTCGGCAATTCATGTTTAAAAGAAAGAAACTCCATGAAAAATGAGTCCAATAACTCCCCTTCATTAAGCTCCCCTCAAAGTCAAGAAAATGATATGGAAATGGGTGGTTCAAGTACTAGTAATGTACCATTGGAGGAAGATTTGGTATACGATGTTGAACTTCTTCCTCATGATCCGGGAAAAAGAATAAACATAATGGATTACCCCGCAAATGAACGAAATGCAGTTAGGAGGGGTTATATTCTTAAAAAACCTTGCCAACCAAAAACTCATGACTTTCCTCAAAGACAAGTGTCTGGTTTATGTCGCTTTAGTATTCATTGGTTCAAGAAATGGGATTGGCTTGAGTATAGTATTGAAAAAGATGCCACATTTTGTTTTGTATGTTACTTGTTCAAGAACGAAGTTGATAGTTATTCGGGGGGTGATGCATTTGTTGATGGAGGGTTTAGGGCATGGAATAAACCGGAAAGATTTGAGAAGCATGTGGGTGGAATTAACAGTGCTCATAATCTTGCTTATGAGAAATATGTGAATTTAAGAGATGGAAAAAAAAAATCAATCTTGAATGTGTTTGCCAATGCAAGTGAGGTGATTAAAAGTGAATATTTTATTCGCTTGAATGCATCTTTAACTTGTTTAAGATTTCTTTTGGGGCAAGGTTTGACATTTCGTGGACATGATGAAAGCGGGGAGTCATATAATAGGGGTAATTTCCTTGAGCTTTTGAAATGGTTAGGAGAAAAGGTTGAGGAAGTAAGACAACATACTCTTGAAAATGCACCTAAAAATTGTCAAATGATTTCCCCTTCTATTCAAAAGGAATATTATTAATTGTTGTGCCAAAGAAATAACTAGGTGCATAATAGAAGAAGTTGGTGATGATTACTTTGTCATATTAGCCGATGAGTCAAGTGATGTGTCCCAAAAAGAACAACTAGCTCTTGTTTTGCGCTTTGTTAATAGAGATAGTGGAAAGGTAATGGAGCGATTTTTAGGCATTGTTCATGTTGGTAATACTATCGCTTTAACTCTTAAAGATGCAATCATGTCTTTACTTGTTGAACATTCATTGAGTCCGTCTATGATAAGAGGGAAAGGGTACGATGGAGCTAGCAACATGAAAGGTGAAATAAATGGTCTTAAGACTTTGATTATGAATGATACTCCAAGTGCCTACTACATTCATCATTTTGAATTGTATGACTAAGTATTTTTTTTATTTTGAAATTTTAATATTAAGTATTAACCAATTTGTGTGTTTGAGTTTTTTTTTTTTAATTTTTTATTTTTTGTTAAGCTTTTTGTAAGTTAAGCATTTTGTCCCCCCAAGTTGAAAATCCTGGCTCCCCACTGCGTTTAATATCATATTGTAACGAATAAACATGTCAAAAAGCAAAGGTTAGGGATTTTTCTTAGTTGTTTGATTATTATTTTGAAAGCTTTTACTTCCCATATTGTACGAAGTATTTATTTTGACTTATGTTTTAAAGTAACCTTTTGGGGATATTTGTACTAGGAGAAAAATAATATGTATCATTGTATGGTATTATCATTTCATCCAAAGATCTAGATGTTCAATAATTATTGATTATTGAATAGGAAAATATGGTATTTTATGGCATATGATTTTATGAAACATAATAACAAATTTACCTTTTTTTTTCTCTTATTAGGTGAATTTGCTAAAGTTATTTTATCAAAAGTTAACATTATTATAGTGCAATCACGACCAATGTTTGACAATTATCAATCGATAAGAAAATCAACTTTAAAAATTACTAAGGAAAAACGACAATTATCAATCAATAAGAAAATCACCTTAAGAATTACTAAGGAAAAACGCTCGCATAATCCAAGTTAAAAATTTCAGTGAAGTAAGAAATTTTAACTAATAGATAGCTAAAATGGTTAGAATTCTTATTAATATAATCCAGCTTTGCTTGATATTAAGATCAAACCTAGACAACTTTATTACTTTCACAACTAACATCTACTATCCAGTATCCAAACAACTACAGCTATCTTAAAAGAGCGGTGTAAGAAATATTCTCTCATATTGGGGTTGATAAGCGAGCTTTCTACTTAAATTCTAGGGAGATGCATGCATACATGCAAACCTATCAAATCATACTACTTGTTTCTTAAATGTTGGTTATATTCATTCAAATGTACCAAATGTTTGTTTAGTTAACATTGCAATAATACATGGGAAGTAGAAACTCATGTAAAGTGAAAAGCTTGACGAGAAGTTGTTTGGTTGAAAAAAAATATATAGAAAATTTAGCTTCATATAAAATCAGTTCTACTTCCCACATTATAGAGGGAGTTGTTACCTTAGCCCTCTAGCATAAATGAAATTTCCAGTTCATAATCAACCAAAAAATTTAATATATTTCTCATGAATTGGAAATTCAATGGGCAAATAAACACCCTAGAAGTTGCTATCATATTAATTTTTTAGAGAATTTACCAACAAATATTAATGGGTTGACTTGGAGTTGATCCTAGCCCTAAGAGCATTCCTACCATGATGTAAACTTTTATACAATGACTCTCTCTCTCTCTTATCGTCTTGCATGCTCATCTACATACCAAATTTTCTTTTTTCGCCATGTACCCACTCATGGTATAATTTTTTTTTTTTTTTTTTTTGTGCCATCTCTCTTAATAGAATAAACTGTTATTGGCTTGCACACATACATATGGGAACACTAAATGTTTGTACATGTAACTCGATAAAAGTTGTTTATTAGAGTCTAATAAAGTGTTTAGAAATACTCTCTCGTGTGTGTTTTTTTTTTTTAAAAAAATTAATGTAGAACATTTATATATATTTTTTGGGAAGCATAATATATGCTTCAACATTCCTAATTCATGATATTAATAGGAGTATTATATTTGTTTTTAAATTTTCTAAAAGTAATTAAAGATGTTACACAAACTATTGTGTCATTTCAGCCTGATTAAATGTTTCGTCAGTCCAGCGGGTTTTTGCTTTATACCAAGTATCGCTCTCATCGGCTTCGTTGTTATTGGCGGTGGTACAATTTATCTTTGATAGAGGATAAGTTGGATGATACCTTTATAACAGGATGTGATATTATGTATATCAGCCAACAAAAGGAACATATCAGCTAACAAATGAAGCATATCAGCCAACAAAAGGAACATATCAGCCAACAAAAGATAGATATCAACTACAGATTGAACATATCAGCCAACAAATGAAGCATATCAGCCAACAAATAAAGCATATCAGCCAACAAAAGGGATGAAATCAACAAACAAAAGCAACAGGTAAGCCAACATATTGTACTTATCCTCTATCAAATAATATATATCCTCCAACAAGCTTTACGTATCTTCTATTAAGTAACACATATCCTCCAACAAATTGTACATATTCTCTATCAAATATTACATATCCTCCATCAAATACTACATATCCTTTAATAAACTATACGTATCCTCTATCAACTAACACATATCCTCCACCAAATACTACATCATATCCTCTAACAAACTGTACGTATCCTCTATTAAAGATAAATTGTACATATCTTCCATCAAATACTACATATCCTATGACAAACCATATATATCCTACAACAAACTGTACATATCCTTTATCAAATAACACATATCCTCCAACAAATTGTACATGTCTTTTATCAAATAATACATATCCTATATCAAACACTGTATATAATATATACTTGACGCACGAATTGTTTGGTTTAACTTGACGCAACCAATACCTTCTCAAGATGTTAATAGTGTAAGTTGTGCATGAATGCATGATCAAACATAAAACTCTAATTATTCAAATTTTATTACTTGTTTAAAAAAAAAGGAAGAAGTAAGCAACTAGCATGTTATATAGGTAGTGCGCATGTCAAACATCATAATCATAAGTTAGAATTGAATAATTGAAGAATTGATGAAGGCGAAGAATATGTTGAGATTCGCATTTCACGCATTCCATTGAGACTAGCTATAGGCAATTTTTATCGGCATCATTTTATTTTTTTAATTATTATTATATATTTATTTTTTTTTGTGTGTTTAAACTTTAGGCGACACCTATCTTATGAGAATTTTGGGAAGAATAGAAGAGATAAGCTTTAACAAAATGGTAAAAACTAAAAAGTTAGGTACGTACTCTTTTGTCAATTTCATACGATTTTTGTGGATCACGAGAAAGTGGTGATGCTAACTCCTCCACCAAAGCTTTTATATGTCCACCATTTCTCACGGTTAGCTCTTGGGACTTGGCTAATGGCTATTGCTTACTATTCTCTTGCATTAGTTTACAAGTCCGATTTAATAATCACGTTAATAATTAATTTAAGCTATTAACACGACAATTAATTTCAGAAAAATGAAGTATTACTCGTAATACATAAATCATTCATGATACATACAGGCTACAACCTGTATGGTTGTATGACTACATATAAGGATAAAAGAAACGAAAATGGGATCATCTATCCGTTTTGGTCTTTACAATGTAAAGAGCAAAAAATAAGTAACTTCTAAAGACCCTTGTATATATATAGAAGAACCAACAGCAAGCAAAAGGACATCATCCACACACAAAGAAATACAGAACCAATAATTTTCTTAACTTCTAGCGTATTCTTTAGTCTCGAGGCTTAGCAGCCTAGATTAGTTTAGCGAAGTGTACATCTTCCATGTATTAAACTCTTAAACTTTCCTCAATTGTAGCGACAATGATGGAGGCGATCATTTTTCTATCTTAATGTCTAAGTCTAACAATTGTCCATCTTGAACCTATCTTTTCATAATGTTTGTGTATGCTACTTTGAGTTGAATGTAGTATCTCTTGTATGGTTTTATATTGTTATTGTTAGATTGTGAAACTCCATAATCGGGGAGTATTCTATTGATCAATATTTATAGGGTTTACAATATGTACGACAGTCCTAACTGTGTCAGGAAACCTGTCAAATATGATGATATTTACATAAAAAGATATCCTAAGCCTATGAGGAGAATATTCAAGGAATATTCTGTATTACACTCCCGCAGTCATAGCGGGAGGAGGTCGTATGCTAAGATTGGATCTAAAATCCAAAAATAAATCTCGAGGCAAGCCTTTCATCATGAAAATATCTGCAAACTGGTACTGTGAAGGAACATGCATGTAGTACTCGAATTTGTCCCAAGGCAACCTTCTCAAAACAAAGTGTATGTCTAACTCAACATGTTTCGTGCGTTGGTGTTGGACTAGGTTTGTAGACAAATAAAATGCACTAATTTTATCACAATAAACAGCAGTGGCCTATCAGAGAAGACAATGTAGCTCAAGTAAGAGATTATGGAGCCAACAAGTCTCCTAGACAACATTAGCTACGCCTCGGTATTCTGCCTCTGCACTAGACTTAGACCATGTATGCTGACGTTTCGACGACCTAGAAATAAGATTATCACCCAAAAAACAACAATAATTAAAAGTCGAACGATGAGTGTCTGGGCAACCTGCCCAATCAGCATCAGTATAAGTAATCAACCGTGTAGTAGCAGACGAATATAGATGTAACCCATGATCAATGGTTCCCTGAACATAAAGCAGGATACGATGTAATGCAACTAATTTAAGGTGTGACTCTCGAGGATCGTGCATACCTGTTGTACCGCAAAGCAATATCAGGGCAAGTAGAAGTGAGGTACTGTAGAGCACCTGCAAGGCTACGTTATTTAGTTGAATCCCGAACAGGCGGACTGGAATCTAGGCTAAGTTTAGACTTAACCTCCACAGGCGTAGCGGCAGGTTTACAATCACCCATACCTGCCCGCTTAAGAATTTCCTGTGCATACTTCTTTTGAGAAAGAAGCATATAATTAGATAGTCTGCGAGTCATAGAGATGCCTAAAAAATAACTCAAAGGCCCCAAATCAGACATAGGAAACTCAGACTTCAACTGAGTAATCATCTTTTCACGTAACCCCTTAGAGGAAGTAGTCAGAACAATATCATTAACATAGAGAAGTAAGTAAGTAAGCAAGATCATTACCGTGACGATAAGCAAGTAAAGAGCGATGTATCACTCTTAGGCCATGTTTAGTTCACCTTATTTTTACTTATCTGAACTTATCTGATCTGGTCTGGTCTGATATGATCTTATCTGATCTTGTCTGATCTAATCTGATCTAATCTGGTCTGATTTGACCAAACTTTGACCTTAAGTGTACGATAATCCATAAGGAAAAAATATATCAAGTGGGATCTTGTTAGATTCGTAATAATGTGTATTTTATTAATATGTAATTTTCATAATTTTTTTAATTACGAAATTAAAGATATTTAGCGATAAAAAATTGCACATAAAACGATGATCTGATCTGAACTTATTTTTTCTAATCTGATTGAACTTATTTTTTTTGAAATAAGTAAAAAAAAGTTGAACTAGACAAGGCCTTAGCAATGACAAGCCCCATTTTCAACAAAAAAAATTAGCAAACCTTTTATACCAAGTTCTAGGAGCTTGTTTGAGACCATATAATGCTTTTCGAAGCAAACAAACATAATCTGGAACCCGTTAATCAACAAAACCAGGTGGTTGATGCATATATACGGTCTCTTGTAAGTTACCATGAAGGAATGCATTTTTCACATCTAGCTAGTTGATATATAGACCACTTCCGAGCCATAGCCAAACTGAGAACTGTACGAATAGTCGCCGGTTTTACAACCGGACTAAACGTCTCATCACAATCTACACCCTTTATTTTCCTGCGACCTGCCATCACAAACAAGACGAGCTTTGTGCCTTTCAAGGTCACCATTAGAATTTTCTTTGTGTCTCCATATCCGCATACAATTTACAACATTCACCCCCGTAGGCCTAGGTATCAGATCCCAAGTCCCTGTATCAACCAAAGCACTATATTCATCTTGCATCGTCGCATTCCAATTTGGGTCAGCCAAAGCTTGTTTATGAGATTTTGGCAATGGAGATCGGTGTGGTGCTGGACTATTTGTTTGAACTGTTATACTACCCCTTCTTTGAACATTGCCTTGGTGGTAAAGTTTTATTAAGATTACTCATATATATAATTTAAACCAATGTCAAATTGTGTGAGTATTATGTATTTCACCAGTGGCAAATCCAGGAATTCTAAGTAGGGGTAGCATAGAATAATAAGGAAAAAAAAAATTAGAAAAAAGTTCTATGTTATATACTAGTATTATTGTTTAATAATTAGCCTTTAAATTTTAAAAATTCATTTTGGTGGATAAACTTTCGTTTCACAAATATGGAATAAATTATATTCTAATTATCAATATGATCAAATTAAAAAGTACACCATAGGCTTAATAGTTTACTTTTGTATGTATTCCGAATGTACTATTCATAAGGTTAAATACTATATATATGGTAATTTATATTAGTATATTATAAATAAAAAGAAAATATAAAACTATAAAATTATTTTATTTACTCCTTATAAATTATTGATTTACTTATATGAAACTAAATAATAAATATATTACTTACCAAATATAAATCTGCATTGAAAAATGCAATAAAAATGGAAAGAATTTCATCAATAAAGGTGTTTTTAAGAATCATAAGTTACTCATTTCATTTTTTTAATTGTTACGTTTGGTATCATATATGGTGATTTAAAAATAATTAAAGTATAAGTATATACATTTTATAATTTAAATATAATAGATTCTACTACTTTATAATTTTTTTATAACTAAAATGAGGGTCTTTCAAAAAATATAAATTATGTACAAAAATAAGTAAAAAGTAATTTGTTTCAATTATTTTTTATTTAAAAAAAAAAACAAGAACCTAAGGGTTCGTTTGGCATCATTGTGGTTTTTTGGTTTTTGGTTTTTGGTTTTTTTGTTTTTTGTTTTTTAAAATCATATGATATATGTCATATAATGAATAAAAAATTAGTCAAACTTTTTAAAATCATGATAATTTTGAAAACTGACAATAGAAAAGTGGAAACACCTTTTTCTTGTTTCCTGTTTTTGGTTTTTTGTTTTCAAAAAAACTGAAAACTAAAAACAAAAAACAATGCCAAACAAGCCCTAAGAGACATGTTTTATATATAACAGGTCTCTTTTATTTTAACATGGAAAGCAACCAAAACTTAAGAGACCTGTTTTATATATAACTGGTCTCTTTTATTTTAACATGGAAAGCAGCATCCTCTAAGAGACCGGTTATTTAACTTGTCTCTTTGAACTACTTTATTTATATATTTTTTAAGGTTGTGCCTTCGTGGGTTCGCCACTGTATCCCACAGTGAAAGATAAGTCAAGAGCTTTCACATTATAACTCAATTAAGTGGAATAATTTTCTTTTTATTGCCAATTGATTTTAGAATGGAACCTCGCTTTGGACTCTATTGATTAATTAGTAGGTTTCTCTCTCTTGTGTTGATCTCCTTCATTTGTTAGTACAAACTGATATCAGACACCATCTATGTTAGAGATTGTGTCAATAACCTATTAATTTTAAGATAAAACCTCAGTTAGGGCTCTATTAATGAGCTTCTCCCCATCTCAATTAGGGCTCTAATCCCCACCCCCCACCCCCCCCCCCCCCCCCCCCATGTTTCTGTTACAACACAAAAGGAAAATGAAGTAGAGAACTTTGAGAGGAATCCATGTTTCTCATTCTTAAAAAATTATTTTCACCCAACCCATTCAACTTATGTAATGCGAGAACCAACCAATAACTATCTTTCTATCGTACTTATTTTCCACCATCTACCAAAAACCTTATACAGAGTACCACTTTACCATCTGCTCTTAATATGCGTGTCCAAACTTAAGAGGACAATTATCCTGAATTCGGCGAAAATACAAGTACACTCTATAAGAAGAACCGAAGAAGAGTCTACTTATAGTCCATGCACCGTGCCGGGTTAATCATACCACTGCACCTCCCACAAGTCGTTCATGGCTTTTTCCAAGTCTCCAAGTAGGAGCATGCGTTACAAATTACTTGTACATGTTAGGTGAAATTTTAGCGTCAAAACTTAAAAGAGACAAAGATGAAGGCAAAAAAGAAGAGAAGGACCACCACCTAGATGGGGCACCACACGGCCCACACCACTACGGCACTAATCAATGCATTGTGCTGTGAATCACACATCATTCAGATTCAGCAGCCTAAGTGTATATGAGACGTTAAATAAGTATGAGACTAAAAGTCTTATTTTATTAATACCAACATTTATTTAATCCAATCACCTTATACTATTATTAAACTTGTACTGTATTTATTTAACAGTTGCATGCATTGAAAAGATGCAAAACTGCAAAAGTTAGCATTTGGCTTTGGCTTTTGCTTTTTCACTTGGATTCATGATCAAGTTTTTACCTATTTCACTCAGGCTTGCTAGAATCTCCAACAGTAAAAATAAAAAAATAAAAATAAAAAATAAAATAATAATAATAATAATAATAATAATAAATAAATAAATAAATAAATAAAAGTGTGTAAAGTACTAAAAATACTAGTAATTGTTACTGTCCTTCTTTGTAGAGCTTTTGTTTTCATTCGGGTAACAAAGGTAAAAAGTTCTTGACATGAGACCATGAGTAATCATGTCAACAAGATTGCTGGTTGTTAGGAGTAGTATAGTTTAAATATCAATAAATAGCCAACAATAGGACCCCAAAAGAAGTTGGGGAATTAAATTTAAGTGATTCTAATTATTAATAATAATTTAAAGCAAAATAATGGCATTTCTTGCATTATGGTAAACGAACGCCTAATGGTTTCATTATTATAAATCACAAATCATATTTTTTTTATAACGTACAAGTTTTTATGAAATGCTAGTATATGCATTAGGAGGATAATTAATAGGTAGTAGTATATTGATATTGATATTTCAACCATAAAAACAGTGTATCCATCATTTTAAAAACAAATAATGTGAAATGAATAAAATTAGTTAAATAGTCAGATAATATGAAAAGAAAAATATGGAGTACTTCGTGTACGGAATAACATGCAAATCAATGTGGAGAGCTATAAATCAATTTACGTACATGTGGTGATAATTCAAAGTCATCTACTAATCTTCATTAAAATGTTAATTATGAAAGACACTCTTCAACTAGATAGTTTAAAAAAACATAATCACCATTCACCACTAAGATATAGAGTTCACCCCCTTCAAGTGATTAATAGAAAAAGCGATTTATAACTTGGTGAGGTTATGATCCTAGAATTTGAAGCAATTTGTGTAGATTAAGGTCCTTGGGATTGCTTTAATAAGGGTGTTACCATTTGTTTATGAAGAATGTTGAATAGCCCCATACCTTAACTTGCATGAAATATGTTCGAAGCCATATCACTACAAGACCTCGATGTAAATTGTGGTATAAGTCTTTTTCAATTGATTCCTTGCACAAGTTTGCTTGCGTGCTTGGTAACTTGCACAAATAATAAAGGATTGACTTTATAGCACATTTGGGAATAATATACCGACATAGGATGTATGTTGTCATAAATATCTCAACTAATTTGGCGATACAATCTCATGTGAGGATTATCTAGGCAATATATAATCTCAAACGTCGAATATCCAACATGGATTAAATACATTTTTTCAAATCCTAATATCCTTTTTGATAAAGGGAAATTGGCATGAAAAGAAATGAAAATCACTTACACTACGCTCTTATATTTGATTTGAAAAAAGGATATGAGATTTGATGCATGGTAAAGGAAGGAAAGTGATGCGAAAACACCTTATGAGCTTATAAAGCTGCAAATCAAAATTATTTTCTCTTTAATTCACTTTCTTTCATCAAACTGAACATCGGAAAATAAAATTTCCTTCTTTTCTTTTTTATGTCTTTATTTTCCTATTACCTTTTTGGGAAAACGACAATGTTAATTTGATAGTAAAAATTATAGTGACGACATTTAAGCCTATTTTAGGGTGCAATTACAAAATTCTATTCATACATTTATTTCACTTGCCCATTACTTCTTTAATATTCATTTTCAATTTTCCACATACAAGCTCCATGTGTGCCCCTTTACCCTTGTAATTTATGAGTCATATATTGGGATTTTTTACGCTTTTATAAATAACTACTGTATATTGTAGAGGTAATTTAAAATGATGTAAAGACACCATACGACCGTCAACTGCTAGATATTCAAGAAATGAGAAATTTCCTTTGCTTTAACTGCAATAGATTATAAGACAATGTTTAATTTGATGAAAGGACATTTCATTTAACTTGTACTAAAACACCAAATACTAATGTCCAATAATAGAACATTCAACGCTCTACCTCTCCCTTAAGGTAACCTTCCTATATTGACTCTAAGGACTTCAATGTTGTTTCATCCGTTCCACTAATATTGTCTCATTTAACAAATTCGCATTTTTTTAAGAGTTGGTTTATTTGATTTGATTTTTTTTTCTTTGCATTTACATAGGTTGCTAAAGGGATAAATTCAATAGAACATCCATTTTACCAACATGGAATAACCATCTTTTAAGTAGTGTCATAACAACTACGACATCTTCATAGAGTAAACTATGTAAACTAAAATGTCTTGTACTAGAGAACCATAAGTCTTTCCTCTTGAGAAACACCTAAATTGGCTAGTTTAATGACCACTTTAAATCCTTCTTTGTAGCAATGAATAATACGAACATCCCAATCTCTCGAACCAGTGACTCACGAAAATGATCAACACAATGGTAGTTTTCTCAATCTTGATATCCAACATTCTTCAATATTTGATATACACCTCATTGTTCATTTGCAACTCTGGCTTTTGATAGCCCATAGCCCAGGAATATGAGTTCGTATTTCGTATGAAAATTTTCTACAAAAATCAATCAAAACTGTGTTAATGTTAAAATCTTAGATCAAACGAAATATAACCAAATGAATTAATAAATTAGCAAACTTCAGTAACGAATAAATTTTTAAAAAGGAGTGATGCTATGCAAGGAACGACAGTTTGGTAATTTCAGTTGAGCAGGCTACACTGGCTAACTCCTCTGTGGTTCGAAGTTTAGCTTATGACAGGGAACAAAATAAATAGATGGTACAAACAGTGATGCATACAATTGTGACTAGATTTTCCGCTGATTATCATCTAAACAAAGAAATCACAGACACATCAATGTTTCATGAACGATTGTACAAACAACGTACACAACATGTCGAGATCCAAACTGATAAACCAAAAGAAATAAGCAACAAAAGACCTGTTTATAGATTTACAAGGAGTAATGCTATTTAACTAATGACAATTTAGTAATTCTTGTTGAGCAGGCCACATCCGTGATCCTCCTCTATGGTTCGGTGTTTAGCTTACAACATGGAACAAAAGAAATCCAAGTAGATAGCACAAACAGTGATGCAAATGTCTGCGACAGGATTTTCCACAGATTATCATCTCAAAAAAAAAAAAAACAAAAAAAAATAAATAAATTAATTAATTAATTAAAAATAAATAAAATACCACAGATAGGTAAATGTTTCATGTACGGTTGTACATTTGTACAAACAATGTACACAACAGATAATGATCCAAACTGATTAACCAGATTTGCTAAGAGTAACAAATAAACCTACAACTTCAATGCGTAAGAAAAAAAGTAAACTCAAATAGAAACCACACTCTTATTTGAAGTAGGAAAGATAATATGAGGCTCATGTATGGACAAGAAACCATTGGCATGGTGGTATTAGGAAGAGGTTACCTCTCACTAACCGTACGGAAGAGAATGTTGATGGTGTAAAATCCTAATAAACATATGGTAATATTCTCCAGGGCACAATTTTACAGTACTCAGCCCAAATATCTTTGTACTTCTCTGCACATCGAGCTTCGTCTCTTCTCTCTCTCCAGATCAGCAAAATAAGAAGATATGTAGGATAAAAGTAAGGAATTGGGGAGCTGCAAACACGAGACAACAAGTGAATAAAGCTTTCAGGCCCATACACAATTGCATGCATTACCATGAGATTAAGAGCATGAATGTCACCTAATTCCACAGGGTAAACTGAAGGATAGTGCCAATAACAAATCTCCTAGATAATTACAGTGCCTAGCGATTCCCCTGAAATAGAAAAGGTAAGTTGTCAAGATCAATGCATCATTACAGGAAGTGTATTATTTTGCTACAATCATGCAAAATGTATATGCATTGGCAACAGGAACTCTTCCATGCATCCATTTCTAAAGTTTTCTCAAATTTTTACAATAATTGATATACGCAGTATTAAATTCTTGTTAACTTCTACTATTGACAACATACAAGTACTATAACAATTTACAGCAACAGCAAAACATAAAAGACTACTAAATTAGCCACAGCAAAACATAAAAGACTACTAAATTAGCCTCTCTTTTTTATCAATACAAAGCACAGAATGTCACAAATCTATGCTGATGTGCATTAGCTGAACAGGGAAAGTGTTCCAACTTGTTCTTAGCCACTGATTTTAATCTCTATCTTGTGAGCAAAGCAAGGATGTGGATAGCTCTGTGCAAGAAATAATACAAGAGGAGACTTCACACAGCCAAATCTCACTTTTATCTTCAGCAATCAAGTGTTCTCTATCAATTTACAATAACAAGTTCAAATATCCAACATTATTCCACCATCAATTTCTCAACACATTTGCACCATAAAATAAAAACAATTAAAGATTTTCTCAAACACAATTTTATTCATCATTTCTTATTTTGTTATACAGCGAAACTTTAGAAAATAATAAAATCAATTCATGGAGACTTACCAATAGCCAGAAGCAAGCAATTTGCCCCCAATGACCTTAGGAGGTCTGCCCCATATCGGTGCTTTAGGATTCTTCTTAAACACATGCTTCTGCCTGTTAGCTCCCCTAAAGATGCGGTACCTGTCCAAATTAGAATGTGTAATTAAATGTAACAGTCATAGAAATCTCCAGTCAGGGGTAACTCAAAGAAAAGGAGACAAGAAATAGAAAGAGGAAGAGCACAAACAAGAAAACCAGCGCACCAAACATATTGAATGATAATTACCCCATCAAAAAGACGATGCAATTTGCCACTACTGCGGCAGTGGTTAAATCCACCTTATTCCTCAAAAGCCACCACCCCTGTAAAAAATAAAAATTTTAAAAAGAAAAAATGTTGGATCACCTAGTCTTCAAGAGAGGTAAAATTCTATATCTATATACATAAAAAAAATTCCTAATAAAGCTTACCACGCCACATGGCACTCTCTCATCTCATCCATGTGTTAACATTTTATGTCGATTAAAAATATAAATTCAGTTGATACAAGGTTTGTACTAGCAACCTCAAATTTGATAACCAAAGACTTATACACTAATATATGTAGTACTAGATGATTTTATTCCACAACAAAACCTAATAAATGACAAATGAGGATGGAAAATGTACATGTAATTACCTAAGGCATCGCACGGGCCAAAACTAGTTACACTTTTATAACTCCCTCAATATCATTGACAAGTAAATTATATCCACATCCTTTATCCTTTAGCTGCCAAATTTTGTTTGTTTGTCTAGGTTGGTAGTGTTTCAACACATAAAAGGTTAGGTTCAGATTAGTTTGAACAAGCTTCTGAAAATCCTTAACGATAACAATGACTAGTACAAGAGAAGTAGAAGCAAAAGCTATGAGATGAGACTTTGAGACAAAAACTGAATAAAATACCGAATACACAAAGATTGATTAGATAGCGAATTTAATTGGAGAAAGTAAACATGGGCAATGGAGGGAGGATTTTAGAATCTTTGACATCATCACTATATATAGACATGTGGAGAACACAATGACACTTCGCGTGCGCCCACGCATGCACACTAGACATGTGGAGAACACACACGCACAAACACACACACGCACACGTGGAGAACACACACACACACAAATGTAAATTAGCAAGTGAGATGATGTTAGATTTATCTAAATGTAAATTTTACATGGGCCATGGGCCATGATGCCCCACACGAATGATCATATTAAGGTGGGAGTAGCAGAGATGAGTATATTGACATAGATGTGTGGGAACACCTTACAGAATAGAATTAGAAATGAAGATATTAGGAGGAAAGTTGGAGTTGCAAACATAGACATGGATGTATGGGAAGATTGGGAACACCTTAAAGGATAGAATTAGAAATGAAGATAGTAGGAAGAAAGTTGGAGTTGCGGACATTGAGGATAAAATAAGAGAGAACTGATTGCGTTAGTTTGGGCATGTTAGACGGGGATCAAAAGATGCACTAGTAAGGAAAGTAGAGGGTTAGGATCAAGCGGGTCTTTGAAGAGATAGGGGAACACTAAAGATGACTTAATTATATTAGGTTAAGAAGGAAAAGAAAAAGTTGGGTTTGCAATAGCATATAACTTTCAATGAAAGGAGAGAATCATAGTTGGCGAGTACAGGAGATAAAACATTGGTTTAAGGCTCTGAAATTTAAGCACTCTTTAAATGAGAAAGATGCTATCATGAGAAGGAATCATAACCATTCATTTTAATCAAAAGTCACGATGTAATACAAGCCATTCACTTTTGTGCATACTTTAATAACTGACTATGCATATTTTTTAAACTGGATGTGCAACTTTTTCATCATGTGCATTATATTTGAATATAACGTGCATATTTCTACATAAGTTTCCCAAAAAACTAACTTTAAGTTCAAATTGAACATATGCACATTAAACTAAAAAATTAGTGTACTTCTGTTTTTGGATTTCCTCTCTTGGTAAACTCATTCCAAAATCAGGAAACATAACATAGAAACAAATGAAGGTGAAGAAGAATAGCACCACAAATTGCTCACATAACAAAAGCAATGAAGGGTTCTGGTGAGGATTTTCAAATAATCAAAATATACCTGGATACTAAATGTGAAAGGAATCCACAAAAGATCCCCAAACACCAACATAAAGCCCAATCTCTCTGCAATAATGTCCCAACTACAAAATTGAGAAGATACATAAGTTAGAAACAATTGTACTCCAAATATCTCCAAGTCACACCTTGAGTGTGATAAAAATGAGCAGCAACAATCCCAGTTTTCAAGATTCGTTTTCACTTCAATGCATCCCACAATGATAATGTGCAGGTACTATATGTCACATACATGAAGAAGGCACATTTTTTTATTATAGATAATTTGGCTGTACCAAGCATTGTAGTCTAAGAGCTCTTAAGACACCACACGATTTTGAGTTGTATTACACATTAAACACTGACGTAAGCTTCTATTAGCTGAAAGATCACTCTTTTTCCATTCGGATTGATGAAATGGAATATAACTACAAGCGTTATAGAAAACAATTTAGTATTAAAATAAGATTGGCTAGAGACACGACACTCTCAAACCCCAAAGGGAGAAATTAGGATTCTCATTGCCTCCCAAAAAAATAAATATATATTTATAAATAAATAAATAATTCCCAAATCTTTTTTTCTAGGTGGACTAAGTCTACTAAGATGTGAAGACAATCAAATAAAGCCATTCCTCACCACATAAGCAAGAAAGTATAAAAAAAAAGTTCATCATAAGGCATCCAATATCTAAGGCCTAAAACTTTCATTTGAACTTAAGAGCATAAAGAGAAGGTGATGCACTTACGTGGATGTCATGTATTCCTCATAGAAGAAGTAGTCCAGGATGTAAAACTGAAACAACATATGAGACAATAAATTTTTCATCCCATAAATATAGAAAGTGACGGTCAGCAAGAGGGTCAGAAAGAGGCATTACAGTGCAATATAGCTGGTATAAAACCATAGACCGATTTAAGTTGCTATCTTGTATATTTTTAGCCAAAATTGAAAGATTAATAAGTAACCATCCCAGCATCCCAGCTCTCACAAAGAAAAATCTGCAAACAGAATGCTAAGGCATGAAATATGTTTACTACACAATGTTGGTCAATGCATAAAACTAGTCAGTATACAATATCAGGCGTCAACTGTAGCAAACAAAACAATCTCTGCATGTTCAGATTGAGCATGACAAGTCTCTAGTCAACTTCTGTTTGACAAGCCATGTACAGGAAAAAAAAGGAGGGGGGGGGGGGGGGGGCGCTAACGTGTACGCAAAAGAAATCAAATTAACAAGAAAAAGATCAAAGTGAACCATGTACCAGGCACTTCTGCAAGTTATTTGTATGCAGTATATAAGTCACAAATTCACAAGAAGTATTAAAGATTATGAAGTAGAGATCAGAATCCAAGAGAAGATTCAAGTGTATAAGCTTTGTCATCACAAAGTATAATTTAAACCAATGTCAAAAATTTCATACAGAAGTGAATACAAATGTTGATGTATTAGTAGCATACCCTATAACTTAATCTACGATGAGTATTTCAAGAGAGTGAAAGTTGTAAGACATACTTGAGATCAATGCCCATAAATTGAGGATTCAGCTGTATTCCAAACCACCTATTAGAAATGAAATCATTAAACAGCAAGAATAAGGGGACCAAATCCTATGACCATATAGAATATAGAATGAAATTATTAAGCACTTCAAAATTGAAATTGAAAATCCATAGTCTATTCTGAAGATCAGTCTTGATCATAAGCATGCAAGGCACTGCAACGGGTACTCAAATTCAAGACGCAAATGTGTGAGACAAAGATGCATGCATTGACTTGTTGGCTGCAAATCTCTGTCCATTTCAAATGGAGAAAAGACTCACTACTCACTTGTTTTCAGTTACAGTGAGCTAAATAAAAATGTATCATTAATATGTGCACCATTCTCGTTTGTCGTAAGATTAACATACAATTATCACTATGAGATCCAGGTCTAGTTAAATGTTTTTCTTATTGTTGCAAGTCCAAAGGTGCCCCACTAATGGGATTAAGGCTTTGATTGATTGCAAGTCCAAAGGTGGATATGCCAGCCCCTTACCCACATCCAAGGCAAGAACTGTTAAAAGGTATTGGGCAACATTCTTAACACGTATATGACTTCACAACACATCTTTGAAAACACACACACACACACACACAATTTGCTCAAATTAAATTGCAAATTCAGGTTTCTCCACAAAGTTCTAGTAGAGGTATAAGTTTGGATAGGTAAGGCCCATACCATGTGTTTGCTTAACAAAATTACAAATCAAAAACCCATACCTCAAACCATGGGTATAGGGTTTAGAAACCTAAGGATGGAGGTAGGTTTAACACATACCATACTTCTAGATAATCAATTTAAAGGGATCAAATTCATTCCAGATATTATGTTTCATTTCAACTCCATACAACCCTAGTTCATTTCATATTTCAAACACACACCACCCTCCCAACCAAAAGCCTTTTTACAAAATAATATTTTTTTTACACTCATATCTCGAATCCACAAAGTATGGGAGGGAGGTGGTTATAATTATATCAAACCTTCATGTGTCAAATAAAAGAAAAATATTTACTATCAATCATCAGACAAAGCTAACGCTACTAAACACATGGTATTAAGTATCAAGTTCCGAACACATATCATCCTAGTTCCATTTTTCATTCCAAACCCATACTAGTCTGTGAACCAAACATTCCCTAATATATTTAAAATACTAACAATGACTAAAAGACAATTAAATAAATCTTATGTGAATTTTCAATAGTAAAATTACAAAAGATGGCTTTAACAACAAAAAATTCCTCTGTTTTTTAAGTTTTACTTTATTTTTTTAAAAAAAATAGTCATGTGAGATCTTGTTAGATTCATAATAATTTACATTCTATAATATCTACTAATAGATACTTTAAAATATTAATGGTTAAAGTTGTGCATTAGCGAATGTGAAAGTCATTAAGGTAAAACTAAATAAATGGAGGAAGTAATGACCTTCTAATGCTCAAGGTAGTAGCTAATAATTTATGTAGCAATGGTAGAACAAATATGTACATCAATTGATGGCCATATGTATAAATATAGGGGAAAACCCTTGGTTTAGGTTGAAAAGGCCGCCCTTTTTTTCCCTTTTTTTTACTCATCTCCATAGCAAGTATAATACTATATAAGTTTATGCCATCGGCAAAAAGCTCAAGTAGAAAGCATATGGTTTTGCTATGAACTATCTTGTAACCAAATATGTAACGTATTATTGTGGTTTTTAGATTAAGTTAAGCAAAGGGAATTAGGCAATCATATAGATTATACTAGTTAATGTTAATCAAGGAACTAAGCTAGATACAATATTTCCCTTTCAAGAATTGGACTCTCTCACAATAAATACTACTCATTATACACAATATTTCCCTACAATTCTAACAAACTCTTATGACAATTGTCCATAAAGCTCAAATGACTAATCTTGGTGGGAGGAGTAGGGTTTGGGGGGGGGGGGGGGGGGGGGGGGGGGGGGTGATTCACGCATTACTCCCCGCCCAAGCTAGATACAATCTCTCTCCAAATGAAATGGTGAGTAGCTCTTGGGTCTATATGTAAGGATGCAATTGTAAATTTGTAATGTGAACTGTCATTGTCACTTGTTCAGCAAAGGTAGTATATAGTGATGCCATCTGTTCCTTCAAGCCGGAAACCTATTCTTCAAGCGTTTCAAGCCACTAGGTATAAGTCGAAGGTGCCATGAGTGACTCGCTTTAATACCAAATTTGCTATGTATTATCTGGCAAGCAGGTACGCTGTACGCAACATAATTTGGGGGTTTACAATTTAATTAAGCAAATAAATTATGCAAACTTATAGATTGTATAAGTTAATCGCATAAATTAAGGTAGATACAATCTCTCTCTACTTTCAGGAGGTAGAATCTCTCCATAAGCAACTTCTCTCTAGAGTCTCTACAATATTCAATCCCCCCTCCCCGTGTTCCTTTCCCATTATATACTAATCATTATTCTCAATGTTTCCCTTCAATTTTAACAAACTCTTGTGAAAGCTGTTAACAAAGCACAAACGACTAATCCTTGAGGCTTTATCACCCTTGTAATTCTTCCTTGCATATGTGATTGGAGTGCAGTTTTTTAATCTTCAAGGTGCATTGCCACAACAAAAGTAAAAATCATGGCAAATTAGCGGTTAATTTGCATGTAAAAAGTTTATTTATTTGGTAATTCATAGGCAACTCGTAAACAAAACCATTGTTTGCTAGAGATTATAAATTTATAACCAAGCATATCTTATAACTATTTTTCAAGACCATAATCTACTATGGCATGCAGTACATCAAATTTTAAAAATTTACTTTTTTTTGTTCATTCAGGCTAATGGGAAAACTTTACCAGTCATGAATCCAATTTCCAGATACATGAGGCTTCAGTGATGAACCTTTGTCATGTGAAATGCTACCGGCAACACAAAGTAACAAGGTTACCTGACATTAAAAACTACAGAATATAAGTTCAGAATGTTTTCAAGCTATAACATATACAAGTTAAATGTCAATCACAAAATACGAATCAATAACCATTGAAGAAATCAGATAGACATTAGCAACTTTGGAAAATCAAGATGTGTAATATCAAATGAAGAACAAACCCAATAATCAACAATTAATGCATGATACAAAGAGTTAAAATAAACACAAAGACTTTGTTACCTTTTGAACTCTTACCGTCTTTTCCTCTTACTTACATTATAGAAAAGATAGATAGATTCAAACTTTAATCTAACTTACTCCCGTCATCTCGACATAGTTGCTATAGCTAGTTTTCCGGTTGTCAAGAAACATTTTAAATAATATTTTAAATCATTAATATCTTTGTTTACTTTTTAACAAAAGTAGCATTTAGAAAATACATAGTAACAGATATAACAGATTAATAATGTATATATATATATATATACATTATTAAGGTTTTTTTTTTTTTTCTTTCCACCTTAATTAATTCATTTATGAAAATCAATCAAATAAATTATTAAAGCATCAATGAACATAAGATAACGCTTTACAAAGATACATTCACATTTTAACAATCTTCATTCTAAAAAACAATGAAATAGTGACAAGCATTTAAATAAACATATATACCTTCAAAATTTTAGTACAACATAAAAAACAAAAACAAAAGTTGTATGTTAGAAAATAATACTCCTTGTGGTTCTTTTTAGTGATCTTGTTTGGAATCTAACATTATTTAACAATTCGAGAAAATTTTCTAAATCATTCCCAAATATATAAAAGAAGAAACAGAGTTATGTAGGGTCTTATTTGATTATTCTAAAAGAGTGCTTCAAAAATATCAAACTTTAACAAGTACTATTACGTTATTAGAATATTAAATATCAAAGATGTGTAGGGGTGTAAATGAGTCAATATGTTTACGAACTACTCGCGAACAAACTAAGTTAAAGCTCAATCAAAACTCGTTTGTTAAGTAATAAACAATCTTGAACAAATATCTTAAGCTTGTCAAATAAATGAACAAAGCTCGAACAACTTCATGTTCAACTCAATAATGCTCGTGAACAACTCGTTTAAGTTCATTTATAAATTTGTTCACGCTTGATTACAGCTCGGTCAAAGCTCGCTCAAGCTCGAAAAATCTTTATTATATTAAATCTTCTTTAGCATATTTATATATCTTTTACTCGAGACATATTTGTAAAAATTACAAGTTTTCACCCTACAAATTATTTCACCCTATATAGGCCGGAAAACTCTTGCTTTATCTTTTTCTATAGATTGAATGGAAACTTTTTATATAAAATTAAGTAGATGCATTAAAAGTCAAAAGAAATCATTTTTTAATTATAAATTAGGGCTCGTTTATTTAATTAAGCTAGTTTTAAGTTCGTTCAAGCACGGGCTTAAATTCGAAATGGAAACGAGCACGTTCGTGAACAAAGTTCGAACAAGCAAAAACCTTAACGAGCCAAGATCGACAAGATTTTTAAAAGCTCATTGAAGAGACTAAAACTTGGCTCGACTCGGATCCTTTGTAGCCCCAAAGATGTGCATTGTAAAAAGTGTGCACAATCAAAACAAGAGCATTGAAATGAAAATAGAGGGAATAGCAATTATCACATAACAGATGAAAAATTAAATATATCTAATTTAATAGCAAAATTTCTATGTACGATTTCATATCATCATTTTCTCTTGAGCCTTAAATTGAATACTACCTCCATTTCATAGTTTTTGCAACTTTGGAATATTTTATATCTCACAAATAATACCCCAAAGTTGCAAAAAATATGAAATGGAGGTAATATTTTTATTTAATATTATAACGAATGACATTAACGAGTATAAATTGAATATTCGACGTCCAAAATGGATTTGCATCAACCAATTCCTAATATTTCGAAAAAACAAAGCATTTTTAAAGCTTAAAAAATATTTTTAATAAAAAAAAAAAACAATTATTACAAACTTAAAAAATAAAAGACCAAAAAAGTTACTTAAAATTTAAAAAATGTATTTTTTGACAATAGGAATTGGTACCCAAATTTTAGAGAACGATTTAATCGATTCTGATTTTGGCCTAATTTGGTAAGTTACTGATTGTGTTCACCATCGCTTAGTATTCATTTGGTCAAACTTAGATAAATATTACCTCAATGTGTGATTTGAATAAAAAAAATCATGTCAGGTTCTATTAGATTCATTTTAATGTGCACTTTCATAATTTTAACTTTTTAAAAGTTTTATTATCTTGCAATTAAAGATATAAGTTAAAAATGTATACTAGATTTCATGAAAATGCAAGTAAACCAAAAAAAAAAAAAAAAAAAAATCATTTCAAAATATAAATTCGAATTTTTTTTTTTTTTTTATGTATATTAATAATACAATGAAATGACAAAATTCAATTCAAATGTAATACAAAATCTTAATGAAATGACAAAATTCAATTCAAATGTAAATCCTCTTTGCATACACCAAGACCGTTGTAAATTGTGTTATAGAGACAGTCAAAAATACAAAACTCACTCCTAATGTCTAATTTACACATATAAATCTTAGGCGTCAAGCTACCAAGGCATGGAACGCGAGCAACTTAGGCCGCCTCTTCCAAAGTGCAAGGCGGAAGGAGCAACACTTAGATTGCCTTAAGTTTAGACGCGAGAGAAAAAAAACAGAACAAATTACTTAAATTTTTAGGGAAACAAAAAACAAAACAAAATTTTTCCAAATTAAATATTACACATTTTTTAAGCGACATTTTCAAGCAAAAGCTCTCTATTAATTGCATGAATAAGTTCAATTTTACCCCAAATTGAAAACGATAAATATGAAAACCATAATTAAAGAGGGGAAATTGGTTGTTTCTATTGCAACCGAGAGGTTGTCGATGAATACTCCCAGGAAGATTTGTCGGCGCTTGTTATCGGCCTATTTTATTAGATTTTTTCCTCATTTTGGATATTGGGTGTCCACAAACAAGAGTCTACTCCCTCCTCTTCCAACTTCTCTCTTTTCTTCTTTTCACTTTTTTACAGTGATCAATTCATTCTTTTGACATATCTTTTGATTCATTCTTTTTAATCCACTAACTTAAACTAATAAATTGTTGATATCATTGTAATTTAGGCTATTTTACTGAAATTATCAAGTACCACATATAAATATATAATAAAAAATAAAAAAGTGATATAATGTGTGCCTCATATACAAAAAGGCTAGGCTCGCCTCGGTGCACCTCGCGTCTTTTGAAACTAAGATACGACCACTTAATTTAGTCTCATTAAAAAAATTGTGGAAGTCTAGGTGAGAACAAAAGTAATCTGACAAGTGTATCTATAGAGACATGAAAAATTAGAGCTTAATTATTATGAGAATGATGTTCTAACGTGATGAGCTACATTCAAGTGAATGCTATACACCATGCCTATATATAGGTAAGCCCCTTAGTTACGGAGTTTTCTAACCTCCTTAAATATATGGTTGGAATTATGCCATTTAGCTAGCTATCTAAAATTTTCTAGATATTTAAATAGATAAGATACCATGCTTTTCTAGAATTCTCTATTCTAGAAGGCTATTTACTAAGGGCACCCAATAAGGGCCGGCAATTTCTCCTAAATGCCTCATGCGTCCTTAGCTTGTCTCCTTAGTAAGAAGCCCAAATCACCTTATTTGTCCTGACGTAGCCCATTATAATGCTTGCAGCAATCCTTTTAGAAACACTTAAAACTATCTAATTTTCATTGTTTAGTAGGTAAGAAGGTGAGTTAGGAGTCTTAGGACAAGTGGACAACCTAGACAATACATTAGATCAAAAGATTGCATAATGGACAAATGTCTTCTAGCAGACAGCTCTTCAGTCCATGTATCATCAAATAAAATGCAACAAGCAAATGCATAGACTAGAGCCACAGAGAAAGAAATTTTAGTTGATGAAAGAGCCGATACATATTATATAGCAGGATAGAAGGGGGAACAAACGATAGAAGGGAGAATCAGCACAAGGAAAGGTGTATAAGTACACATATACAGAGGCCCTCAATACAATTTTACTTAGTTTGTCAAGAGAAGGCAGCACTTACAACAAAACAGAATATAAAGGTCGCAGATAAAAGCTCAAGTCCCCTATCCACAATGACCTGCATATGAAAAAATTGGTCCAGTTACTTGCAAGCTAAAACAAAACCACAAAACCAAAGAAGCAACAATAAATGCAGACAAAACCAAATACCTACGGAGTACAAGTTTTTTCTTATTTAATTTTCTGTGTTACTTTCCTTGTTACATGGGTAATCATCTACACGCAAATAATCATGACTAGACAACTACGAAGTATAATTCTGTCCAATACCATGACTATAATTCCTCGTCTCATGAGGGTGTCAGCTATGACAAGAGCAGCTGGTTATACTTCAAAACACCAACCAGAGCTCATAAATTTTTAGTTCAGCAATGCATGAAGCTCTCTGGCAGCAAATTACTCTTACAAGTGCAATAACAATTTTATAAAAACCCAAATTATCCACGCTTTAATCATGTCACCTCAAGTACCAATGTGACGTCATAACTTGACCCTTCACATCGGCATGAATACTTCAACACTTCGTTTGATGCCAAATAACGAAAAAAAATAACGAACGTTTTTCCAAAGTGAGCCAATTTTGGCAAATATTAACCAAAATGGTTGCGTGGCAAAAGTATTTACCAAACTAAGCTTCCAGGCTAAAACGCTGTCTCGGTCAGCGTTTTATGCCTGGGTTTTTTTAAAAAAAAAAATCAACCTAAAAACGCTGTCTGGGACAGCGTCTTTGTTGTTGACCTTTTTTTAAAAAAAATTTGTAATTGCCTTTTATTTATAAAAATGTTTTAAAAAAAAAAAAACAGTTATACCAAAGACGCTGTCCCAGACAGCGTTTAACTCTGGAACTATAAACGTTGTCTCAGACAGCGTTTAAGGTTATTTCATTTCATTTCATTTCCTTTCCTCCTCCTTCATTCTCAAACCCCTTCTTTCCCAAACTCTAACTTAATCCCCCTCTCTCTCATACTTGTGCTCCTCCGTGTAGACCGCCGCCGGCGCCGCCACCTCCACCGTCGCCCGCCGTCACCTCCACCGTCGCCCTCCGTGTAGCCCACTATACACTCCCCTCACCCTGAAATAGGTATTCATTCAACTTTCTTTGTGTTTTAAATTCTAGGGTTTATGTTGGTGATTTCTAATTTTTTTGGAATTGGGTTAAAATGTTGATGAGGTTGAGTTGTTAGTGTTAAAAATGTTGAATTGTTAGTGTTGGTATTGTTGAATTATTAGTGTTGGTAATTGTTGAATTGTTAGTGTTGATAATGGTAGTGTTGATATTGTTAGTGTTGATAATAGTTTGGATAATGTTGAATTGTTGTTGTTGGTTTTGTTGAAAATTGTTGACAATGGTTGATAATTATTAGGTTTTGAACAATTGTAATTACCTACATTGTTGTGTAATAATGATGATTTAGGGGTTCTTAGTAGTTAATTTGTAGAGTATGTAAAAAAATTTTGTTTGATTGTGGTGATTTAGGGATGATTTAACGGCTTTACGTAAAATGTGTTTTGGTTGTTATGTAGAATATGGCTGGACAAAATGTAGCGTTGTTATGTCGATGGGGAGGTGAAATTTTGTGTAATGGATCAAATGTGGAGTACAGTGGAGGGAATATGGACCTTATAACACTTGAACCGAACATGACTGTGACTGATCTGATGAATGAGGTTCACAGTTGTATTGGTTCAAACCCTATGACTGTTGAACTGAACCTTAAAATGAGGTGTGATACTGGTCATGGGGTGCAAGTGTTACCTGTCTCTACGAACAGACATTTGAAAGGTTTGAGGAGCATGGTAGGAATGAAGGGTTTTCCCAATGAGATATATGTAGAAACAGTGTCTATATGTACCCAACAAAGTACTCGGGCAGAACAGCAAGCTACATATGTCTCTGATTACAACACCGCGTCCTTCCAAGAGCCCGCAAACCACATTCCATCGAATGCATATGGGATGGGTTCTTTCACTCGAATGATGCAGGACGACCAATTTCACTTGCCTTTTAGTTCTCATATAGCTTCACCAGTACATGCGGGGGGACGCGTGACAGTGTTCGGCCAGCCTGCTCCGTCGTCATCGAACACCGTGGCATCTTCGCCAATGCAATTGCATAGCTACTCTCCAATGCAAGGTGATGATGGTTCACCGTTTCGAGAAGAGCCAAATCATTTTGATGATGTTGTGAATAATGAATTGTCGGTGTATGATGTGTATGCGAAAATGGATGATGAGGACGAGAACGGAGAGGGGGATGATGAACCTACACAGGTGGAAGATGGTCAGCCGTTGGTTAGAACTCCCATACCTTGGTTCAGTGAGGTACCCGAGAACTATGAAGTTGATCAGTATTGGGCCGAATCGGGTAGCCACACCTCTTTTGTTCCCGGGGGAGAATTTGAGAAGGGAATGTATTTTGAGAGCATGAAACTGCTTCAAGAAATGGTGAAGATGTTTCTATTCAGAGGAATCAATTCTACACCACAGTGACCTCGAATGATGGTGTCCTACATCTGCGATGCAAGAAGAAATGTGGTTGGATGCTACGGGGTACCAAATCGAGTGAGCACTCACGTGGTTTTACCATAGTCACGTACAAAGGCCCGCATCGGGAGACATGTATCACTGAAGTACTATCTAATGATCAACCACACTTGGATTCGTCCGTAATAGCCGAGTATGTGAAGTACTTTGTGCGGAAAGATCCTTCGTTGAAAGTGGAATTCATACAGGAGTTGATCTCGAAGCAATTTCATTTCGATGTCCCGTATCGACGAGCGTGGTATGCCTGAGATATTTGGGGATTGGGAGAGTTCATATGGCAGACTTCCCCACTTCATGCAAGCACTCCTACGGTCAAACCGAAGATATTCCACCTCCCATGTTCTCATGTGCTAGCAGTCTGTGCTACATACTCACTATCAGAACGGCCTTAGGTGGACCCTCCCGGGCACAGTACGTAGGCCCTAAACTCATTCCGGACGGCACAATGATACGTGGAAAAGGTCGTCCAAAGTCGAAGCGCATACGCAATGAGATGGATGACAGCAACCGGCCCCCAACCAAATGCAGCCGTTGTCACCAGCAAGGTCACAACCGCACTACTTGTCCATCTAGACCAACATAGGACCTAAATGTATATGTGTTATTTGATATAGTAGTATGTAGTGGTGTTATTTTGATGAAACAGTTATAATTTTCTACATTATGTGTTATTGTGTTCAATTCGATGAATTTTATTTTGTACGTTGGATGTTCGAGATTTCCTGTTTATGCCTTTCAATCGAAATTTTCTACATTATGCCTTTCAACCAGTTGGGGAGGCGACTGTGACATTGCGGGACGTGGCAATACTTACGCGCCTTCCAGGCGGTGACGGGATCATTTCTAGTCGATCCCGTTGGATTGGTTGTGCGGGTTCTCGGGGTGCAGCCGGGTCCCAACAATGTTAGGGGCTCCGCCTTGAGGACGGTCTGGTTACGAGATACTTTCCAGGGCTTGCCTGCGGACGCCGATGACGCCACAGTACAGAGATACGCTCGAGCGTACTTGTTCTTCCTCATATCCGGCGTGTTGTTCGGCAACAAGAGCGGGAGCCACTTGCAGCTTATTTACATACAGCTGTTAGACCACGACTGGGAGCATATCCGTGGATACAGCTGGGGTAGTGCCTCTTTGGCGGTGTTGTATCGCCAACTTTGCAGAGCCTCACGGAGTGGTGCGCTCGAGATTGGAGGACCTCTGTTGTGCTTCAGGTATACTACATATATTATCACAAGCGAATTATGCAATGAGTAATGTCATATTTAACATAGTTTTGTGTTTTGCTATTGAAGCTATGGGCTTGGGAGCACATCCACGTAGGAAGACCAGGTAGGCCTGCTGTACATCGTCCGGGGCAGCAGGACCAGGATGACCAGTATGAGCCGTACATCGCTCCGCCTCGCCCTGCAGCTGATGAGGCTTACGGTTGCAGGTTTGTAACAATTGTCATTTTTTTCCCATATACGATTTCATTTTGTAAACATACTTACCAAATTTGTTGCCCCAGGTGGATGGTCCCCAGACTCACACAGGCACATGCGGCGACGGGTCTCCCATACTACCGAGACGCCCTTGATCGACTCACTGAGGATCAGGTACAAACTCTGAAGACATTTGTAATCATTTAGGTACTGTGTATACTGATTGTGGACTAACTTATTTAGGATGTGTTATTGCAGATCACATGGGATCCGTATGTACCGGAGTTGGTAGATGTCATGCCTGCACATCTACTGGAGCATTAGGGAGAGTGGCGTGCCCGGGTCCCCCTGATCTGTTTCGAGGTTGTGGAGAGTCACCTACCTGACCGCGTCATGCGACAGTTCGGACTGCAGCAGCCTGTTCCCCAGAACTGTGACACTGTCGTGCGCCTTCACGACATTGACCGTCGGGGAAAGACGGAGACAAACTGGGCACTGGAGCATTGGCAGTATCTTCAGCTATGGGAGCAGCGGTTGGGTCATGTCGTTCAGGGTTATCCCATGCAGGGCGTTATGGATCATGACGATCCGTACATGGTGTGGTACAGGCTTATCATACGCCGTTTCATCAACCCCAGCTACACACCACCGTCCACCCATTACCACCCGGCACATGACGTCATTAGCGGATATGTGAGTTTCTTTTACTATACTTATCATCCTCATTTTTTAACTTTTTTAAATATCATGTACTTGACTGATCGATGATTACTACAGGCGGCGGATATGGTGGCGATGTATGATGCACTGTCCCTCGCCCTTACAGACGGACCCACCAGAGCCCAGGTCCAGCGGATGCGAGATATGTCCGCGACTTCCTTACGCAGACATGGTCACGGTCATCTCATCCAACAGCGGGACGGTGATGATGGTCACTCCATCCATTCACGGTTCGACCCCGGCCAGAGTAGCAGTGGAGGTGATCCTACATCGCACACAGAGGCAGGGAGTACATCTTCCACAGTTCTGCACCCTTCAGAAACCCAGGAGGACGCATCGTCCAGCCAGCTCACTCCCCCCCGCGCCGGAACCCATTCACCACCATTCACCATTACACTCGGCGTCGTCCAAGACGAAGGGACGACAGTGAGGCTAGGGAAGGGTTACACCAAATTGATGAGTAGTGAACGTATTGTATCATTGTTTTGTCCTTTTTCCTGAAATGTTGTATATAACGATTGCATTATCAATATAAGACATGCTGGTTGAATGAATCTGTTTGTGTTTTGAAGTTTTGTTTGCTTATTTATCCAAATCGGATTTATGTCAGTCAAAATAGATCCTTCAGGGCTAATATACATTAAACAACAGACATTTGGAATCCATAATCGAAAATGGGGAAGAAAGGATGGCCCGTGGTGGTTAATGTGGTTGTTCATGGTGGTTTTAGTGTTGTTGGTTGTGGTGGGTGGTTATCAACGGTTGTTGAGTGGTTGGGGTTGGTGGTGGAGCTGGTTGAAGTGTTGTTGGAGGTCAAAAGTGGTGGCAGATGGTGGGGGTTGTTGGTGGATTGTGATGGCAAGAATCATGGCAGGGGGTGGTGGGTGGGGGCAGAAGAAAGTGGCAGATCAGTGGCAAAAGGCTGATTCTGCTGCTGTTTTGCACACCAGCAGAGAAACGCTGTCCAGACAGCGTTTTAGGTTGAAAATAAGACGTTGTCTGAGACAGTGTTTTAGGTACAAGGAAGTTTGTACATAAAGCGCTGTCTGGGACAGCGTCTTTGGTATAATTGTTTTTTTTTTTTTTAAAAATATTTTTATAAATAAAAGGCAATTACAAAAATTTTAAAAAAAAAAGGTCAACAACAAAGACGCTGTCCCAGATAGCGTTTTTAGGTTGATTCTTTTTTTAAAAAAAACCAGGCATAAAACGCTGACCGAGACAGCGTTTTAGCCTGGAAGCTTAGTTTGGTAAATACTTTTGCCACGCAACCATTTTGGTTAATATTTGCCAAAATGGCTCACTTTGGAAAAACGTCCAAAAATAACACAGCCAAATGAAACACTTGAACATGTATGCACCAATGTCAGACACGATTACGTGAATCCGAGTAACATACTAAAAAAAACATAATGCCACAACAATAGAGATTACATACTGTAGGTGATACGAATCCAGCAGCAACCCCACCACCAAGAAGCAACACCAACAAAGTCAATGACAACAAACCTAAAACCCAACCAAAAAAATCAATTTAATTAACCCAAAAAAACCCAATAATAATTACATCAAAAATACAAAAATATAGAAAAATGTGATTATAATTATGAAATAAAAAGAGGGAAAAACCATTGCAGCGATAATGGAGACGAGTGCCATCGCTTAAAGTAGCGCCAGGAACAATCTTGCCGGGTAGAACAGACCCAAATATTGCCAAGTACCCAAAATATGACAACAATAAACCCACCTAAAATTTCCATGAAATAATCGAAAAAGATCAAAATTAATTTATTCAGCCGCAAAATCAAGTGAATTGAAGGTTCAAATCAATGGAGTTTTAGGGATTAAAATGAACTTACAGAGGTGAAAGAAGGAATGAGAGACCGAAGAAGTGAATTTAGATCCATTTTTTTCCGAATCTGATTGTCTTCAGTTTCAGAGAAGACCAGATTTTGGTGTTGTGTTCTCTTGTTGAAACAGAGAAGTCACAAGCTCTTCTCGTCGTGGAGCCAAAGTCCACTTAACTGTCAGATTATTTGTTTCAATAATTTTGGTGAAACCAAATTTAGGCCGTTCAACTTATTTTTGCTGAAATGAAATTATTTTTGCTGAAATGAAATTATTTTTACTGAATTGAAATTATATTTGCTGAATTGAAATTATTTTTGTTGAACTAAAATTAATTTTACTGAACTAAAATTATTTTTACTAATTTTCTATTATATTTCTTCTATAATGATACTGAATTTTAATGAACTGAACTTATTTTTACTGAACTGAAATTATTTTTACTGAACTGAACTTATTTTTACTGAACTGAAATTATTTTTACTGAACTGAAATTATTTTTACTTAATATTATTTTTTTAAGGTAAAGTGAACAAGGCCTTAGATTGGGATTTTTCACAAGTTTAATGCGGAGTACCTAGGGGTAGGGCTGGCAAACCCTGACCCGACACGAAAACCCGACCCGAACCCGACCCGAAGTTACTGAGAGAGACCCGAACCCGACCTGAACCGAACCCGAACAACCCGAATTTGACCCGATTTGACCCAAATTTCATATTTCGTAATAATATTAAGTTTTACACTATTTTTAATAGTTTCTAAGCATAACCCGAAATCGACCCGAAATCTGACCCGAACCCGACCTGCTGACCCGAATTGTCACCCCTACCTAGGGGTGTCCATAATTCAAATTAAAACCGAAATCCAATCCAATCCAAACCGAATTATCAATTTGGATCGGATCCGAATTTTAAATCGGATCGAATCGGATTGAGATTTTTTGAAAATTCGGGTTTTCGGATTGGATCGGATTGACCCTAATCGGATCCAAACCAAACCGAAAACCGAATTTTAGAATTAAGCATGTATAATATGGAAGTTGATGTTGTCTTAAGTCTTAAATTTCTGAAAGTTGCTGCTTGTTATTGATATTTAGTGCATGGAGTAATTGTTGTAATGGACTAATGGTGTTGCCTTTGAGTTGTACTAGTTCTTTTGAATAATTTAATTTGACTTGATGTTAAACAATTAATGTTAATCATGACTATTTTCAAGATTTGTATTAATCTTAAGGATTGGACAAAATGTTATTTTTATAATTGCATTTTTATTTTTATATTATCGTACTAGTCTATTAGACGCTATAAATTAACGTATTTTAATTCGAATTTTCGGATCGGATCCAAATAACCGAACTTTAATTCGGATTGGATTGAGAGAGTAATTCAGATTGGATCGGATTGAAAAATTGAAAACCGAATTGTATTTCAGATCGGATTGGATTTGGCCCAAATCCAAACCGAAAACCGAACGGACACCCCTAGGAGTACCTAACTAGTTAGTAGTTACCCACATTGGTCCATCATTTACCACTTCGCTAATCATTCATTTTTTTTTAATATTTTTTTTTATAAGTTTTGGAAGAACCCACATCGGGAGCTTAAATTAATAAATCAGAAGAAGCAACATCAAAGATATGAGGTGGGATTACGTTATTACACATTCATTGACCAACTTCCCAAGGTTGAAAGTGAGTCGATTCATGTGCTACTCTATTCCCACAACGCTCCACAAAAGACCACCTAATGCTAACAAAACAAGAACACAACTCTAAAATATCCTCTATAACTATATAGTATAACCATTACTCGGTCATTTTTAGAGTGAGTTTAACGGCAGTCCTTACTAGAGCCTAGAGGACTATCTTGATAACAACTCTACTCATTTTAATATTAATGAATATGAAAAGTTGAGACAATGAGGTTTTTCTTCCCATGACCTTTATTTTTGGAAAAAAATGTACTTTGTATCCCAATGGTGAATAGTCACTAAAAAGTTTATGAAGATTTGTTGAAAAAATCATGCTTTGAATTTCCTCACAAAAATATTCATGTAGGCCCCTTGAGTCCGTGACCTTTTAAATCTTAATTTTTATAATTATGTAAGAGAGTGAAATATGAGAAAATACAAGTTTCTCAACATGAGAAACTTGTATAGTTGTATGTTTCTCAAAAGGGCACGCTTGTCCTTTCGCGTAAAAAAAAGAAGGGTTGTTTTTGTCCATCAACAATTTTGGATGGAAACGCTGGATTGTAGCCGTTATATGCCATTAATGTAACTACTAGAATAAACCCACCATTCTCTCTATACCAACAATAAAACTTGAAGAATTCTACAACAATGGAGGTCGAGGAATTCAATGGAGAAGAGAAAATTCACAAGCAAACGACAAGACACCTACCCTTTGGGGTTGGCACCGAAAATGGTGGTGTTGGGATTGGGGGTTTGTTGTAGTGTAGAGGATGGTGCTTGTTGTGGTGTTAAGTGGAATCCTCCATTGTTGTTTATTGAGGAAAAAAGAAAAAGGAAGGGGGAAGGAGACAACAAAATTATGACGTTAATTAATTATTGTACATGAGTCACATACTCACATGCTACTTTCTCACACACAGTCAGCAATGGGGCTCCGTACAATGTCCAATAATTGCAAACTGTCATTTGAGAAAAGCCACTGTTTCTCAATTGAGAAACCGGGGCTTCCTCGTTAAATATAGTATACTATGAGAAAATAGTAGGAGAACAATTGATGAGAGAATTTTTATTTATTTCATTGGTGGGGTAAAAAAAATCCTCACCAAAAACTTGATTTAGAAGAGAGGGAAATTTGGAGAGATAGTGGTGAGGAAATTTTTTTTCCTTCACCGTTGAGAGTGCTCTAAGGTCGGTCATTAATGATGGCCCCCCAACAATAATCTTGATGTACAAACTTTGTATATCAAGTGGCAAATATGTAATTATATGTAATATTTTTGTTTGTTCTTCTCAAAAAACATAAAAACTACCATAAACCCATCACAACATCATTGCAGCCTCCATGTTCCTCTTAGAAACACATCATAGCCACCATCACCAACATCTCTCCATCTTCCCACCGAACAAGTACTAAGGCCTCACCGCCACCACCTTAAATTGGATTCTTAAGGGCCAAAATGACCATAAAAACCTTAATTGAGCATTTTTTTTGGTTAAAAAAATCTATAAATTATAAGTAGAGCTGGCAAAAACTGACACGACACGAACCGAACACGAAAAAAACGGGTTAGTCTCAAGGGATTTCAACACGTTTAATTAAACGGGTCAACAAGACACGACACGACACGTTTAATTAAATATGTTGGGTTAGTGTTGAGATTCTCAACACGAAATTAACACGACCCAACCCGTCCAATATAAAAGCCCAATCATTTATGAAATTATTGATAAATATATTCAAAAAAGACCAATAATTTTCAATTCAACACGACACGAACCGAACACGAAAAAAAGCAGGTTAGCGTTAAGGGTTTTCAACACGATTAATTAATTGGGTCAACACGACACGACACGTTTATTAAATGGGTCGGGTAAGTGTCGACCTTCCCTAACCCGTTTAATTTCCGACACGAAAACGAACACGACACTGCACGACACGATTGCCAGGTCTAAATATAAGAAAGTTTTATTTAACATCACCGTTCCTAACACGTGATGGTCAACACTAGTGTTCGGTGGTCAAATCTTGAAAAATGGAGTAAAATTCCTTCTCATAACCCATACACATGATGGTCAACGCTAAAGTTTGATGGTCAACTTATGAAAAATGGAGTAAGTTCCATTCTCACAACCTAAATCGCATATAAGGGGTGTTTGGTAAATGACTTTTTGATGATTTATTTTTTAATTATTGTAGCTTTTAGCTTTTTATCTTGCTCAAACAACCAAAAAAGTATTTGATAGATGACTTTTTATTAAGTGAAAAGTTGACTTTTCTACCAAAAATAAAAAGCTACTCTTACTAGCTTTTTGGTATTGGTTTTGGATTTTCACCTTAGAAATTAATTTCTTATCCATACTTTTCACTAATTAATAATTAATAAACAATATTATGAATTATAAAAATTATGTTTATTACAAAGATAATAATATATACTAATGCCCTTAAAGGTCATTTTTGTATAAAGCAGCCAGTAACTAACATCCAATTTTACCGAACATATATAATTATTATATAATTGTAGAGTCATTTTTGCAGCACTTCACCATAATCCTCCAAATCCCCCCTACTCAAGTTCTATGCATTTCAATTTTTTTTTTTTAAAAACCCATCAATAACTACCTATCTCACTACTTTTTTTTTTAATAATAATAAAAAAAAAAATTAAGGGACTCCAATAACTACTAACATTTTCATTTTGTGTTGTTTTCTTTTGCGTATAATATACCCCGTGCATTAGCACGGGTATGCTCTAGTTTATTAAAATTTCATAATCAAATAATAAACATAAAATCCGACAGTTGGATACCACTTCTAAAATCCCTTGTTCGTTCTGCAATACCCTGGATATTTCCTCCTTTTAAAATACTCTTTCTACTCAAAATAAAACTCATTTTAGGAAATAACCAAAATATTACCACCACCATGATAAAGACTAAGGCTATTTTCAAAGTCACACAGCGGAAGTCTAAAATTAAAACCAACTTTTCAAAATAAAACTTGAGTTCACAACCTCAAAACAAAAGTAAAATATAAAGTTCACAAGTTGGAACCAATATAAATATGGTCCTTCAAAACCAACTTAAAAATAAAACATAACAATGTTAGTCCATAAATAAATAAATCAACAATTCAAAATATGAAACTAAGAAAGCATAACAAGTAACTCTCTGCACTCATTCCCTTCATGCTCTTCATGCCTTAAGTACCTGTCACTTTCTCTTTATTTCAACCCCTCTACTCACCATATAAATGGGTCATAGTTGGGTCAATCCAAAGGAAAGCCAAACACAAATACAAAAGTATGAATCAACAAAATCTGAGTACATATGCACCACTCTAACATGAATATCCTCCAAAAAAAAATGAATATCCTAGCAATAAATAATTAAAACATGCTTTCCATACAATTAACAAGTCAACTTACCTTTGTTTCATACTGATAATATTAATTATTAAGTAATAGTTTTGGATTACGCATCGAACGAGTTTCCTTCCTTAAAAATAGCCCATTTAAATATTGAGCTTCCAATTAGGGAGCTACCCCAATTGGCACCTACTATGTCACCTTGTGACGAAATTCCAGCGCATTAGAGCATGCACAATGGTGGGGATTCATGAATCCCCTTAATTCTTCTCTCTCATTCTCTCCTTTTGACACATCATTTCTCTTTTTTCCACATCATTTTCCACTATCTCCGTCCTCTTCCTCTTCCTCTTTCTTTATTTTTTCCCACAACAAAGGGGATTCATGAATCCCCTTCCTTTCTATTTATGCCCCACCATCTTCTATTAAATTAGATATTTGCAAATTTAATATGACAAATTATTATAATTAGATTAATGACAATTTTAATATATTACAAAAATGTACAATTAATGATAATTTAAAATGCATAATTAGTAAATAGAACGGTCGTCACACATATAATAAATAGTTAAAAAGGAACATTGCAATACATTATGTAAAAAGATAATTCATGAAATTCGGAAACATAAAAGTACATTAAAAGCCGATAATTGAAAAATGAGAAACTAAATCATAAATACGTTTTATTTTTAAGGTGAGTTGACAAAAGTGCTCCCAAACCTAGCCCATTATGTTCCAGCAAATCATTCTTCAAAGATGTATTAATTTGTTTATCACGAAGATTTTCTCGTGTAGCCATCATTGTAGCTAAATTTTGATCTTTATAAAGCCCAGGGGTAAGGGTGAAAGTTGTTGCTCTTCTCCTTGATGATCCTGCTAGATTCTCAGGTTGTTCGGTGGAAAATTCCGTTGGATCCCAATAATTCATGTAATTATCGCGCTCATCTTCTACAATCATATTGTGCATGATAATACACGCCATCACGATTTTCCATAGCATTTCGACACTCCATGCCAAAGCCGGGTGTCTAATTATTACAAATCGAGCTTGTAGCACACCAAAAGCACACTCAACATCTTTTCTAATACTCTCTTGTTTGATTGTAAACAACTTCTGTTTAGGGGTTTGTGGGGAGGTGATAGCGGAAATAAATGTTGCCCATTTTGGATAAATCCCATATGTGAGATAATATCCTTGGTTATAGGTATTTCCATTCACAGTGAAATTAACTTGTGGAGCTCGACCATTTAAAATATCGTCAAAGACGGGAGAATGTTGAAGAACGTTTATATCGTTGCACGTCCCTGGCGTGCCAAAAAAGGCATGCCAAATCCATAAATCCCAAGAAACAACAGCTTCTAAGATCACCGTCGCCCTTTTAGATCTTCCTTGATACATTCCTTTCCACCCAGCTGGACAATTTTTGCACTCCCAATGCATGCAATCGATGCTCCCCATCATGCCAGGAAAACCCCTTTCTTCCCCTTGTTTAAGGAGACGAAAAAGATCTTCGGCTTTTGGCTTCCGTAGGTATTCTGTTGAGAATTCACGAATCACTCCATCAACAAAGTGTATAAGACATTCTCTTGCCGTACTTGCCCCAAGTTTTAGATACTCATCAATTTGATCAGCTGGGCAACCATATGCTAACATTCTCATTGCTGCAGTGCATTTTTGAATTCCAGAAGCACCCAGTCGCATTGTGGCATCTGGATGTTATTGAAAAAATCTATCAGTTGCACTCAACGTATTCACTATCTTCATGAATAGAGGTTTTCGCATACGAAACCTACGTCGAAACTTTTCATCGCCGTATAATGGATGGTCACTAAAGTAGTTTGTAACTTTTCATCGCCGTATAATGGATGGTCACTAAAGTAGTCTATAACTAACCGATCATGTGCTCCTTCACGATCTCTTGGAACAATCCACCTTGACATTTTTTCACGTCGTGAATCATGAACTTCTTGTTCTTGTACATCGGTGTTAACAACATATCTTACTGTATCCTCTATCACTTGTTGTTGTCGATTTTCCTCAATAAAATCTAACAACATGGAATCGTATATTTCATCACTAGAAGTAGAAGAACTAGAATCAAAATTCATTTTACGATTTTTTGATAATATTTGTGTAAAACTGAATGTTAATATTTGTATGACAATGATAGAATTATATGTGAATGGAACTGGTCAATATATAAACAATTTGATCCACATGAACTAAGTAATAATGCAAGAGAATATTTTGGTAACACATTTCAAAATTTGAATTATGAGATGTCAGAAGATTAGATTTTTGCATGACAATAATCTATAGCTTTGCAGAGATATGTATGGCTTTACATAAAATATGAAGTAGATGTATCAATGCATGAAGTGACTACACACTGAATTTTGTTTTTTGTTTTTTACCACTACTAATAATAATAATAACAAATTAATAATAATAATAATAATAATAATAATAACAGTCATAATAATAGTAATTATAATAATAACTATTACAGTATGATTAAACATTAATTAAAAACATTAAAAAAACTAATACATTAAAAAAATTAAAAATAAATTCTGAAATATAATATATTAAAAACATTAAAAAATAAAAACTAATACATTAAAAAAATTAAAATAAATTCTGAAATAAATAAAACATTAAAAAAAAAAAACTAATACATTAAAAATATGAAATAAATAAAACATTAAAATAACATATAAGAAGAATAACTTCATAAGAACCTATTACTAAATTCCTCTTTAAGCTTCTTGTACATTTCTACCTCAAATTCATCAAGGTTAGGTTTCATCATCAACATATTTAACATTTTGATCTTCATCTCCTCTTCCTTTTGCCTTTTCCTTTCTTTACCTTGCTCTCTTATTAAGTCAATCATTCGTTCTCCTTGGTCATACCTGTTGTCACTACATTCTTCAAGAGTTGTATTGAAGGAATCAAGGTTTATAGATGAAGACGAAGAACTAGATTCCATTGCTAGTCTCTTCGTCTTTTTTATGCCATCTGGTCGAGTTCGTGGTTTTCCACCTTCAACAGTTGGTGATTCTGGTTCAGATCGTTTTGCACTTCCTCCGCTTTCAGCAGGTAATTGCATGACCTCATTTGGATCCCATTTTGGAAAATTTTGCATAACTTCAAAACAATGTTGCAAATGGAAATGTTTACCTTTCTTCGCCATTGCAAAAGCATTGTGTGCACGTTTTTCAACATCTACATCTGATTGTCCACTCTTCGAATGTCGTATCTCGTAACTGTATACCTCTACCCACTTGTTCACATTAAAATTAATGTGATCCCAACGTTGTTGTAAGGACTTAGTATTCCTCCTCTTCTGGAGCTCATCAGGATTTGCAAGTCGTGCTTGTTCGTAAAATTTACCAGCTGCAACCCAAAATCCAGCCTTAGTCATTTTTGTATTTTTTTTTGTAACATTTCCCCCGGTGTTGATGTAAGCCGAAACAAGTGCGTTATCCTCTGCTACACTCCATGAATTCCTCGGCATAGTCTCTTCAGGAGAAACTTCAACGACAACATCAACAAGATCCTCTAGATGTTGCGCTTCTCGTACCTCTTCAGTTAGAGTTGCGTTCGTGCTACCATCTCCTCTTGGAGAATGGTCCATAGGTTGGGTAAAATGTTGAGACATGGGAAATAATGGATTATCTTGAGAAAAATGTTGGTGATATTGGGTTGTATCATTTGGATTCATTGGTCTTTGTTGATTACCAAACCATTGTAAAGCAGCTTGAAATTGAGGATTATTGAGGATATTTGGATCAAAAAGAGGATTATTTGAATTATTTTGAGAGTTTGGAATATTTTGAAAATTCAAATTTCTTCTTAAATTTGGATTATTTCGATCCATATTGAAAGATAAAATATAATGAATTTAATTGAATATGAGTGAGATTAATAGGAAAAGGAGAGAAAATATGGAGAAATGAAGATTTTGAAAATATGGCAAATTTAGGTTCATTTTATAGAGAAAAAAAATATTTTATAGTTGTATTTTAAGGATAAACTTGATTTAATTATCATATTTAACTATTTTCCTAATTAATTTATGTTTTTCGTAGGAATTATTATAAAAGAAAAAAAAAATCTGATTTTTATAAAAATCAATAGCTGGCGGAAAAACTTGAAAAAAAAAATATTAATTATTATTATTATTATTATTATTATTATTATTATTATTTGATTTTTATCTTAGTTTAACTTAACCATTAAACTTTTTTTCATTATCTTAGCTTACTCTTATTCCTATCTCCTTCCTTCTAATCCTTTAATCAAATGAACTTCTATCCAATTTTTCTACTTATCTTCTACACCCAACTATTAATCTAGACTTAATTTGATCCAAGTATGATAACAAACCCCAATACTTATCATATTTTCTAGTAATCACACTAGACGAAAATCCTAATTTGGCACCGGTTCAAACCCCCCCTAAGGCATCGGTTTTGAACCGTTGGGGATTTAAGGGATGCCAAATCCTCAAAGATTTGGCACCGGTTCAAAACCGGAGCCAACTAAAGCATTTGGCACCGGTTAACCGGTGCCAACTACCTTGATTTTGATTAAAAAAAAAAAACTGGCGCCATTAAGTTGGCACCGGTTAAATGGCGCCAGTTTTTTTTTAATAAATTCAATGTAGTTGGCACCAGTTTTAAGCATGAACCGGTGCCTTTGACTTTTTTTTTTTTTTTCGGAAATGATATATATTAATATTAATACTAATAAATATAATAATAATGAGATCCTGCACATAATACCTGATAATTAATAATAATAATAATAATAATTATTATTATTATTATTATTAATTTTAATAATAATAATAAGTATTATTATTATACTATTAATATTAATATTAATAATAATAATTATTATTATAATATTAATAATAATTAGTATTATTAATATATTAATAATAACAATAATTGAAAATAATAACAAGGATATAAAATATTGATAACAATCCCAAAATATGATATTAATTAGAAAAATGTGTCAAAACTACAAACAAACAAAATTAATAGTAATAATGTAGTACACTAAGCTAGTTAAAACACAAATAAATGATATTTACAAATTAAATGTGATGTAGGCCGCCAACATGTCTCGAATTACATTGAGTTCCTCGCTCGTGAACGGATTTCCCGTTTGTCCCTTGCAAAACTTGGAATACATACACAAAACGTAAGTTAGTAGGAGTGAACTCATAAATAATCGTAACATGTCAATATCACTTAGTTATTGGTGACGAAGGCTTGAAATTACAAGAAAATAGCAATTAAGGGGTTGTAGAACGCATTTTCAACCAAAATAGCCCGAGTAAGGCCATTTTCACTACTAGGATGCCTATTTCCTACATTTCTTATCAAGTGAACTCATAAATAGTCATAACATGTCTTTATCACTTATTTATAGGTGGCCAAGGCTTGAAATTACAAGAAAATAGCAATTAAGGGGTTGTAGAACGCATTTTCAACCAAAATGGCCCGAGTAAGGCCATTTTCACTACTAGGATGCCTATTTCCTACATTTCTTGTCAAGTGAACTCATAAATAGTCATAACATGTCTTTATCACTTATTTATAGGTGGCTAAGGCTTGAAATTACAAGAAAATAGCAATTAAGGGGTTGTAGAACGCATTTTCAACCAAAATGGCCCGAGTAAGGCCATTTTCACTACTAGGATGCCTATTTACTACATTTCTTGTCAAGTGAACTCATAAATAGTAATAACATGTCTTTATCACTTATTTATAGGTGGCCAAGGCTTGAAATTACAAGAAAATAGCAATTAAGGGGTTGTAGAACGCTTTTTCAACCAAAATGGCCCGAGTAAGGCCATTTTCACTACTAGGATGCCTATTTCCTACATTTTTTGTCAAGTGAACTCAAAAATAGTCATAACATGTCTTTATCACTTATTTATAGGTGGCCAAGGTTTGAAATTACAAGAAAATAGCAATTAAGGGGTTGTAGAACGCATTTTCAACCAAAATGGCTTGAGTAAGGCCATTTTTCAACCCACAATTCTCGACGAACCCCCATCTTTTTCAAATCGTCCGGTGCACCCTTTCTGTTCTTTGTCTTTCTTTGAATATTCATCAGCGTTCCCACAAGAGCATCACACACATTCTTCTCTATATGCATTACATCAAGACAGTGCCTAACGTCATGTTCTTTCCAGTACGGGAGCAACCAAAAGATTAATTATTTTTTAAAGAGAGTAGTTGACTCCGCCGCTTTTTCTGATTTCCCAAAGACTGTTCGTACACCCTTTACTCGAGCGTAAACCTTCTCACCAGTCAACGGCCTAGGAGCAGTCCCCTCTTCCACTATCCCATCGAAAGCCTTTTTCTGCCTACGGTACGGGTGATCGCGCCTGAGCAACCTTCGGGTGCGCAAGTACACCTCTTTGTGAGAATGATCAAGGCGACTGCTTGGCGTATCATCAATACAAATGGGGCATGCTTTTTTACCTTTGTTCTTATACCCGGACAAGTTGCCATACGCAGGAAAATCATTAACGGTCCACATAAGAGCTGCATGCAATGTGAACATCTCATTCTTATAAGCATCAAAAACAGAAACCCCTTCGTCCCACATCTTTCTCAAATCATCAACAAGGGGCGCAAGATAAACATCTATGTCGTTTCCAGGTTGCCTTGGCCCCGATATCAATAGAGAAAGCATTACGTATTTCCGTTTCATGCACAACCAAGGAGGCAAATTGTAGATCACTAACAGTACCGGCCATGTGCTATGCTGGGTACTGAGAGTGCCAAATGGATTCATCCCGTCCGTGCACAAACCAAGCCTTAAATTTCTAACTTCATTACCAAATTCTCCAAACTTGATATCAAGGTTCTTCTATTGCGGGGAGTCAGCATTCTGTTATTCTTTCTTCCTTCTGCATGCCACCTCAAGTTTTTAGCGTCTGTTGGTGTTGAGAATAGACGCTTAAACCTTGGAATAATGGGAAGATACCACAACACCTTAGCAAGCGGTCCCTGCTTACCAGCATTGCAACTCATGCGCTTGTAGCGCGACTTCTTACATCGTGGACACTCCTCCAATTTTTCATGTTCATTTCGATAAAGAATACAATCATTAGGACATGCATGTATCTTCTTATACTCCAAACCAAATGGACACATGAGCTTCTTAGCGTAATAGTAAGACTTAGGAATTTCATTCCCGTCGGGCAACATCTCACTTAACACGCTCAACAAAGAAGTAAAAATATTGTCCGTCCACCCATGCTTTGACTTAATGTTAAAAATTGTTAGCACGGCGGATAGTTTAGAGTATTTTTTGCACCTAGGATACAAAGGCTTTTTAGAAGCCTCCGATAATGACTCAAACACGTCACCTTCAAAACCACGCATCATCTCATCCACCCCTTCATCCTCGACCTCATCCACATGATCATCCTCAAATCCATCCTCAGCACCATGATCAACAATAGGTTCATCATTATTCTTGTACTCCTCGTCCACACAAATGTCATTGCTTCTATCATCATGCACATCATTCCCAATAACATCCCCACTGTACTCTCCTTCTTCACCGTGCCAAATCCACACATGGTATTTAAGCCTAAACCCACGACAAACTACATGATCTCTAATGATAGCAACACTATTGACCACCTTCACATTATTACAATCAACACAAGGACAAGAGGCAATCGAAACCCACTCTGCGCTTGTAAGATGAAGCCCTCTCGCAAAACTCTTGAACCCCATTAAAGAATTCCAATGTATCACGTCTACCATACATCCAACCACGATCCTTCTCCATTAAGTAAATTGTCTCTAAACATGGCAACATATTACGAATCATGTATAATTGCTACCATCTATTATATATGTAAATCAAATTCAAACACACAACATGCATATAACATTCATATAGATACAAAAATGCATATATGCTTCCAAATGGTCCTTATCACTCCAACCTAACCCATCCTTGAACGTTTACTCTCACTATTGAATGTATGTCGAATTTCCAATTTTAAGGAAAATCCGGCAGCATTTCCCCCCAGTTCTCCAAGTACATGATGTAGGTAATAAGTTACCCACATATGTACCCAAAGAACATGGTGTTCGAGGAAATGGTAAGCCAAGATGTTCCTTAAAATCGAAAAAATAGACATACATTCACCACCTAAGTGAGAGTAAACGTTCAAGAACAGTCCAAACCGGGGACTATTCAAGACTTTCTCCTAATGAGAAAGCCTTGAACGGGTATCTAGGCATATGATGATGCAAACATTTCATATATTTATTGTTGTATTTAGTTTGTCATTATATAATACACGAATCTAATAGCTAACATGAAAAAACGTTTATTAAAACAATAATAGAGAGAAACAAATATTTATAGCTTAGAAAAGTTTATAATTCATACCAACACAATAGATGTATTCTTTCTAACTTCCCAGTTGAGCTAAATTAATGTGTAGTCTTCAAACTACACTTGAACTTCAATTCACATATGAACCTATAAAAACGCAAAAAAGAAAAAACAAAACAAAAAACAAATTAAAAGTTAGTAAGTATGTATGAGAAATGGATAATAAATACAAATAGGGGCATATGATTAAAGAGAACGAGAGATTCTCTAAAGTTTGCAAGAAAATGTGAAACTATGCCCCCCTAAATGGTTCATTCTAACCAATAAGAATATTTATTGACATAAATATGTAAATTGGGATTTTTTTTAAGAATTCTTGGTAGTTTAGTTGAAACTTGAAAGTAATCATTTCATCACTAAGTTCACAAGGCTCTCTTCCAAAAAGTTTCTCAATCAACTTTTACAAAAACCCTCTGACTTAAACCTCTATTT